GTATGCTCGGAAAAAGTGAGACCACATCGAAAGAAATTAGTTTTTCATCGTCACAAATGTAAGTGTTGTTTGTCCTGTGCTTGAAATCCAGCGTATTCTTGATATTGTATACTGAGTTTACCGTTACGTTTTTTAAAATATTTACAATATATTTACATAGACCATATGATGGCGATCCAATGGATGAGCAAATGGGTCTAAGCGGTGTTCCTTCTTTGTGTATCTTAGGGAGCCCATAAATTCTTGGAGGTAACGCGGTGGTTGAGGTGAGCTTATTCCGTTCGGCTTTTGAAATAATTTCCATTTTAAAAAGTTTGTCGACTAAAATATTATTTTTATTTTGTAGTCTCGATGTGGGATCCTGTCTTTGTATTCTATTCGTAGTTAAGTCACATTAGTAGTAGTCATTTATTCCATTTATTTACATTGCTACCGTTTTGTTTCCTTTGTCAGATGTTAAAATTCGAATGTTGTCATTTTTCCTCAAAAATTTCCGCGTCCGTTCCACTGTGTCTATAATTGCACACTCTATTGCTTATTTGTTGTTTTGTGGTCTTTTATTAGCAATGATAATTTGGTACGTGCCTCTTCTTGTTGCTCTTTGTCCTTAAGAGTTTGTATCAGATCTTCTTCATCCGAGATGTACTGAAAAAGAGGGAATCTTTTGTTCTCAATTGGTAATCCGAACTTTGGACCTTTCGACAGCAATGATTTCACGTCTGGCGGGAACTCTACTTTCGTTTTATTTACAAATCAATCTTCATGCTTGTTGTTGTCGACAAAGATATTATTTCGTTTGTTCCGCAATTTCTCATATTTAAATTCTTGTCGCTTTTTCAGTGTTGTTGTAAGCTTATCTGCGATGTTTTGCTCACTCTCCATGAGTTCTTTTAAGTCATCTGCGCTCAGCTGTTTCTTTAGGTTTGTTGCTATTTCTTCCACCATCTGTTTTTGTTTTCTTAATGTGTTATGTTTATGTTTGATCAGAAGACTTAATATTTTTATGTGGTAGTAATGTGTAAAGTAAAGTAAAGTTTTGTCTATTTCAGGATGTTTCTTTCTACTTATAATTTAGTGTTTTGCCGGCTCGAGGTCAATTTTAAAAATTCTTCTATGAAAATACAAGTTTTTTGGTGTTTATTTCCGATATATTTCGATTACACTTCGGTAACCGTCCTCATCTATGTAAATATTTTAAAAAACGTAACGGTAATCTCAGTATACAATATCAAGAATACGCTGGATTTCAAGCACAGGACAAACAACACTTACATTTGTGACTGAAAAACTAATTTCTTTCGATGTGGTCTCACTTTTTCCGAGCATAC